ACCGAAAACAACATAAATTGTAATGGTGATAAGAATTTGGTATGATAATAATATCAAAGCGTCCCGTCTCGTTGTTTTACATAGCGTTCTCGAAATTGTTTACTGAAAAAGTTACAATGTTGCTATAATTACGAAATCCAAAAGGGACTTAATTATTGTTATGACTTAACTTGGTGATACCATCAAAAAGTCATTGAAACTTTCTGACTGGTGATTATTTCATTTATTATATTTCTTAGGTTATGCACTTTTAAACTGAACCAATTCTTCTTCTTTGTATTTGTGTAAGTTGTAAGTCTTTTTCGTTTAATGTACAAATAACAATACACTGTTTAATAAAGTTCCCTGGTCTCATTGAGCTAGCTTCTTCTCACCAAATTTAATTTAATCTATTATCAAGAATACTCTTATGAGTAAGGGCTATTATAAAATTCATAACTATTTTCATAGACATTTTTCATAACTTTAATGTGGTATCTGAAGCCGCTTCCTATATCTATACTAATATTATAAAGAGGAAAGGTTTGTATGTAAGTATGTTTGTAACGAATTGGCTCAAAAAGTACTGGACCGATTTTAAAATTCTTTTACCATTTGAATGCTACATTACCATTGATTAATATAGGCTATAGCGTATTTTCAAAAAGTTAGGGTTCCGTATGAAAACTTCGATAATGTGCGTTACATTATCGAACGTGTGTAAAAAATACCTAAAAATAGCCTTATATCTTATAATGAACAAAGTCATTGTGTATAATACAAGCTTTTGAACAAAAACTGTAGTGTACACTACAGCTCTACACCGAAGCAAAGCGAGGGCGGGCCACTAGTACCTACTAAAAATGTAAAGCTCACTATAAAACTTATTGTACATAGCTATATTCTAAACTATGTAATGGAAGGTGACTTCAGCATTCTCCCTGAAGTAATTTTTCAACTTGACGACTCTGTATATAATAGTACAGGGAGAAAAAAAGCCCTTGCTGAGTTTCTTGCCGGTTCTTCTCAGTACAAGGTCTCCTACCGTAGTTTTGCTAACCGATATCGTAACTTCTCAACTTTCACAAGTGCTCGTAACAGCCTAGACTGAATAAATGATTTGTGATTTTATTTCATTTGAACATAAATGTTAATGATGAAAGTTCTGAACAAAGTTGTAATGCTATTGTTGAAAGATCTGAAATGAATCTGTACAAAACAGATTTAAATTTCAAACAAAACTCTTTGATATTAATCTACACTAAACATCTCATTAAGAACCTGTACGAAACTTCTTGATAGGAATTTGTACAAAACCATTTGTTTGTTCTTTATAAAAATCCCTTGAAACTCAAATAATAGTAGCAGTGGTAGGTGGGATTCTACATTCAAACTGTTACTTAATTATTAAAATTATGTCTTCTTTCAGTAAAATATCCTATCTTCAATATTTAATATACTCTTCCTCCGTGAGACAAACCTGTGGGACGCCCTGTATATAACTAATATAACCATCAGCCGCCCGCGACTTTGTCCGCGTAAACTTCAGTTAATCCCGAAATCCCTCAGGAACCCAACACTTTACGGGATAAAAAGCGTCCTATGTCTTCTTCTAGTTTATAAGTTGTCTCTGTATAAAATTTCATCTAAATCTGTTCAGCCGTTTTTCACGACTCAGTAACAAACATACAAAATTCCACATTAAAAGTATAAGTAGGTGGTAGGTTTTATAAGTACGTTATTATTCCTCTTATAAGAGTTACAACAAGCGTCGGATCCTCTTCAGAAGATTGAGAAAAAAGTTTAAATGTGTTTTATTTATTGTATGCGCATAAGGAACAAATATTATGTTCTTTTAAATTTTCATTGTCACTAACATTACATTAATTTGTGTTATTTACGGGAATATTACCATGTACCTTGCTTTTAGCGAGTTTCCGATATTTCGGCACTGTTGCAAACGCCATGATCACGGAGTAACTGTGCCGAAATATCGGAAACTCGCTAAAACAAGGTACATTGGTAACAATCCCGTAAATAACAGAAATTACTTGAAGTTTAAATCTAAAGAAAAGTTTTACTAGAAAAAAATCCACGCGGACCAGGCAGCGGACGGGACTCGAACCCGCATCCTTCGCTATCCGGGCGAATGCACTGACCATTATGCTACCACGGCCCTATTAGCCGCGTCGAAATTTTCCTAGCCTTAAGCTGCAAGGCAGCGCCATCTCTTCGCATTGTAGGCAACCCACAATGTCAAATGAATACTTTTTCAAGTATTAAACATTTGAAAGAAGAAATAGCAATTATAGTTATGATTTTATTTATTTTTTAAGCATTTAACTGCTAGATGTTTAAATCTAAAGAAAAGTTTTACTAGAAAAAAATCCACGCGGACCAGGCAGCGGACGGGACTCGAACCCGCATCCTTCGCTATCCGGGCGAATGCACTGACCATTATGCTACCACGGCCCTATTAGCCGCGTCGAAATTTTCCTAGCCTTAAGCTGCAAGGCAGCGCCATCTCTTCGCATTGTAGGCAACCCACAATGTCAAATGAATACTTTTTCAAGTATTAAACATTTGAAAGAAGAAATAGCAATTATAGTTATGATTTTATTTATACTTGAAGTTTTATGTTATATGTGAGTGTCTGAGGAGTTATTCTCCCTTATCCCTCCATCACCTTTTCTTCATAGGACCACGCGCGCTGGCCTACGTTGCCACCAACTTACTGTGGCCACTATTCCTACACGAACAAGGAAATTTGGTGACTCATTTCTTTGTCGTGCTTACTTTGGAGCTAACTGCTTCGACTATATCCCATAATATAAGCCTTATAGTGCTGTCTTTGGGGCTAGGCTAATTGTGTTGGAAATATTTATTTATTTATTTATAATTTATTATAAAATAATAAAAACTTTTTATTTCACACCACAGAAATATAAAACAAATAATGTGTACAAAATATGTATGTACCTATCTTCCCAATATACTTAAGATATCCCCATAACTAAATCAATACCAATAATGATATTTTTACGTAACTTCTTTAAAGCATAATATGACCTAATTTTGTAATTGACACTGTAACATTAATATATTTTGTAAATAATTTCACCCGTTTTTCACCACAGCTGAAAAATGTCCTTAACGGGTGGTGGGGGAAAAAAACATGGACGATTCAAAGGAGTTGTATTTATGTTTCCAAATTTGAATAAAGGTATTTTGAATTTGTAACGAAAGTCTGCCCGTAAGTAGCCACCATAGTACCTAGTTGTAAAGACCTATAGTTATAAAGCACTTGCGACACATGAATACTTAAGCATTCGCTGATTCCAGCTCCTACCTCGTGGTTCCGAGGAAACCTTACCCAATCTACGAATTATCATTAGACTATTTACACTCAAACCACCTAGGGTTCCGTACAAATTTGTATGTAGGCACGCAACATAACGGGTATCTTTATTTTAACTTAAAAGTTTGATTTTTTCACAAGTTTAAGCGACTTTAGACCTAAATAATAATATATGGTTTAAACTTTAGTCCAAAATATTTCGTCATACAATTGTGTACTGTAACGGTTGAGTTTGGATTTTCATTAGATCATAATGTCGGACCTTCAGGTCTGTTTTCATATTGTGTTTAAGCACTGTTTGGACTATTGCATATAAAATATTTAACTTAAGCTACTTTTGTGGAATATATGACTGTTTGTTGCCAAAATACAAGAAATATAAAAACCTCGGTACCAATACACGTTTTCAAGATAAAAGGGTCTTGATAGACAGACAGATTCCATGGCAGCATCTTTTTTATGTTAACTTTGATGTTTGATTTTTTCACAGAATCAAGGGGTCATAGATCTAAGTATAAGGATAAACTCGATACCTTTACGCGTTCCTGAGATAAAGAGACTTGACAGATAGACTTAGGGACGGACAACAAAGAGATCCTATAAGGGTTCCATTTTTGGTATTTGACGTATTGAAGTCTAAAAACGTAACTTGAACATTTATTATCGAACAAAAATCCTATCAAAAGCAAAGTATTTAAAGGTAATAAGACAATGTAAACGATTGCTCAAATTATTTAAAATTCAATAAAGAGAAATATAACTAAAAGAGGAGCTGAGGAGCTCGATGGCGCAAGTGGGTAGCGCGTTCGGCTGCGATCGTTGAAGTTAAGCACTTTCGCATGTGGTCGGTCATTGGATGGGTGACCAAAAATTTACTATCTCGAGCTCCTCCGTGCTTCGGAAGGCACGTTAAGCCGTTGGTCCCGGCTGCATCTGCAGTCGTTAGCACCCACCAATCCGCAATGGGCCCGCGTGGTGGGTCATGGCCCAATCTCCCTATTCCATCCATAGGGAAGGCCTGTACTCCAGCAGTGGGGACATTAATAGGCTGATGATGATGATGATGATGATAACTAAAAGGAACAGATGAAGGTGATTTAATTGAATGTTCCTTGAGAATAATTGATTTGTTTCTGTAGTAGGACACATTTCCATTTTGTTTATTACAAGCCGTGTAAAATTTGGTACGTGTAATTTCATAACAAAAAATCCCTTCTTGCTGATTTTCGAGCTATGTTTCATGTAAAGTATTTAATTACAATCCATGCGTTTTATTAAAAGGTTAGAGATCAAAATATTTCAAGTTTTAATATTAAAAACTACAACTGTTAAATATTTTACCAGCCGTAAGCTTTCTCCAATATTGAAATGTTCAAGCACGCTTACAACATATTATTAAAACCGTCACTTTACGAGTCTGCGGTTCTCATAACGCAAGCACCTGATGAATATATTTCATAATGAAATAACTTCAGGTGCTTACGAAACAACTTGTCAAACGAGTCAGATGAAAAGTTTGTAATTACAAACGGTTTGTGAAAAGTTGTCTCGAATAATGTCTCCCTAAAAATATTGACGGAGCGAAAAGTTTTGGAATACCTATACTTTTTTATTAGAAAAAAGAACAATTGCGGTAATTACTTGCGGTAATTAATTGACTTACCTTAATCGTTTTTTCGACAATCTTTTTTACTTGCCACTTTTAAACAAACACACGTGAATCGACTATCTTTCGAATCGCACAGCAAAAAGTTTTAAAAAACAATGACCGGAATTTATAACTGTACGGTATTCAGTCACTTTTGACGCACAACATTCTTTTTTCAAACTTTCATATTGCAATTTCAAATAATGTTTACTTTTAATAAATTTTCATTAGATGTAAGTTCGATGTAGTTACTACGAAATAACGCGACCGAATGCCAAGCGTGCGTGCGACGCGCTGGGACGCCACCGTGCGAATCACATAAGTAGGGGTTGAAATCTGAATAGTGGCTACGGCGTTTCAGACTTCAAGTCTGCTACACATTTCCCTTAATCATCAGACGGTAGAAATATTCAAACTCTTTGGAAAACTAATTGATTTGAACCAAATAACAGAGTCGTTGTAAGTTGTAAGTAAAAAACACTGTCGTTCGATACAAAAATAGAATTGACTGGCTTTTTTATACGATACGGAAACATTCTATATTTTATTTTTCTATATTAAATAAATCATGATTGTATTGACGTTGTAATAACATAATGATTTGTAAATGTTGTTACATTATGCTTTTAATGTTGTGGAGTTTTTTTCGCTCGTTTTTCTCCGCAGCTAAAAAATATGTCCAATAACGAGTGGTAGGGAAAAAAATGTTTGGACGATACAAAAGTGTTGTACTATACATCCAATTTGAATAAAGATATATTGATTTCTGATTTTGATTCAAAGTAGTCGATCGAATTATAAGTTTTACTAATGTTGAAGCTCTGCGATAGCTACTACTACACGTGACTTGATGAAGCATTAAGGCTATTGGTATTTAGTATTGGGAAATAGGACTTATAGTTACTTGTTTTCGTAAAATTATTATTTTCCTTTTTTCTTTGTTCGATGAGTTGATTTTATTCCAAAACGCGGATTAAAGTTAGTCTTGCTTTAAACTTATGTTGTCTCCGTCTTTGTTTTAGCGAACAAAGATGCAGTATTAGTTTTAGTCCAGGTTTAACTTACGTCCACGTTTTGTGATAAGGCGGTCTTTATGTTTTTTTTAAATAGATATTTAATATTAGGGCATTGGGGTTTTAGTTTTATGGTAAACTAGCAACTTTCGTGTTAACTTTAGTTTTTTGAGATTCTTTCTGGAACGTGACATTTTTCCGGCATAAAAAGTCTATGTCTCAATGCAGTTCAAAAACTTTAAGCATACCGTATGCACATGATTGAGCTACAAACATACTAACTTCCACATTTATAATATTAGTGGGATTATTAAATTGAAAACCTGATGCTTCTTATATAAAATAAATATTATGGCACTGGTTTAAAACGTAATTAAAATAAATCATTGTAAATATTATGTGTTATGTTAGCGACGTTAAAATTCGTTGCCTTATAATTATAATGCTTCCGTTTCTGAACTCAGCTCTGAAATGGCTTCAAGCATAAATTAATTTGCAAGCGGTTTGATGCTGCGTAATTTAGTTTCTCCAGAATTTACGAGGTTCGATTGTAAATAACTTTATCTTCGGATAGATTTATCTTATTTAACGTCATTATGTTAATGACGATAATGCTTGGGGTAACAGCAAATTTTCGGGAACTAATCAATATCGTAATTTGAATAGTTTAAAGGTGACAAATCCTAAAAATATTGTAAATGTGAAAGTTTGTATGTTAGTTAAAGTTTAATTGTAATTTAATTTCTATAATTTGGGTTGCGTTCAATACGCTTTCCTAATGCGTAAAATCGGCTTTCCGCTTGTGCAAAGCTGTTCCCTAATGTATCTGGACTTTGCTTAAAGGGAATTTTCACACAGAAACTACCATCGATCTCACGTTTAATTTTGCCATTCAAATATTTTTCACAAAATGTTTCTTCGTTAGAAAATACATCATTCGGTCTAGTCTGAGTGAATGACTCTTCGACTTCCCAAAATTGTCGCAATTGTTTATCAATCGACTGTAAACTCGACGTGTGCGTAAAATTACATTGTACTGCATTTTGTTTAATTGCAGTATTACTCACGGAGTCAGATACTACCCAGCCCAGCTTTGTATTTTTAAGATAGGGACCAGCCGGTAAACGCATTTGTCGCTCGGTAAGTAAATCCCAAAATATGTCCGCCCCAATTAATAAATCAATGGGTTGACTTTCGAAAAACTTGGGATCGGCAATTTATTTATATATTTTGGGATTGCTATTTTAATTTGGCGTCGCACACTGGTGCGTGGGTAATATGGAGATACATGAATATCTAGAGATGCCCACTGTTAAGGAATAAATTGGCAAAAATAGCAAGAGATACAAAGAGAGATTGGAGAATCACAGCAATGTACTGACAAAAGATCTACTGAATTCAAGTGACAACGTGAAACACCTAAAGAGACAAAAGACTGCTCATATAATTTAAATTTTATTTCCTCTCAATGGTACTGCAGCGATCTACCCTGAAGGGATAGATCCTGGGGGCGTAGTTTTTATGAAAACTAATTAGATTTTGTGTTATTTTATTTAAAATCAGGCGAATATAATAATTGAGGTTACACTATCAATGCATGGTTTGGTGCCTGAAGTCTATCTCTTGGAACCTTCTATCAAACGATAGACGATTCTCAATTTCAAATCTTTGGAAATCATGACATTACCTTTTTAAAATAACTGCCAGCCGTAGGCATTGCATGAACAAAGAGTTTACCCAAACAAGGAGGCTGTAACGCAACGGACGTTACAGTACCATTCAATGGAATGTCGCCTCAAATATTGTAATCACGGAGCAGATTTACGAGCCGATTGCAGATTATAAAAATATAAAAAATAGGCATGTTCTGTTCACATGCCATAAAAGTATAACCTATAATAAATTGTTTCTAAAATAAATACATTACACGAACATTTGGTGTTGATCCCAAGACCTTATCCGTTCGGCTATCTTTCTCTTGCAAAGAGTTACAAAATTACGCATACCTTGTGTCAAATACTGTTGCGTTTTGGTTTCATCGAGTTTCAAATCTCAACGGTGCTAAAGAAGTTTACACTTCAAAAAGAAAATATTTATTACTTAATCACGCAAAAATGGATTTGTATGAAATTTGCACACAAACAGCTATAACCTGGAAAGGGAGATAGGATTGGTGTGGTAGAGGTTCCTGAAAGATTTTCAAGAAACTACAGTCAACGTGGTCAAAGTTGTGGGCTCCGCTATAGTACAGTCAATCTGTCGAAAAAAATATCGTTTCAGTGAAAAAAAAACCTAAAGGGTAAGTCTTGTTTTTTCTGTTGCCAAATGACGTCAGTAAGCCACCTTGGCGATGGGCATGTTCAACTCGTAGGCGTTTTTTGAAAAACTCAAAAAAACCGTCAAAAATTTTTTGAAACGCATTTTTCTTGTTTTGTATGCATTTTAGAAACTTTTTTTTCGACCATAATTGTAGAGGGCGTTGAGTGCTACAATTTATGTTATTGTTGCAATCTCGTACAACAAAAAATGCGCATTGTAGGTGGCGCTAGTCTCAAAAAAAGTGTTTTTTCACTTTTTCACCCTGAAAATATCATTTTAATGGAAAACTTTAAATGGCGAAGTTGTTTCGTACATTATGGTCGAAAAAAAATTTCCAAAAATGTTACAAAACAAGAAAAATGCGTTTCAAAAAATTTTTGACGGTTTTTTTGAGTTTTTCAAAAAACGCCTACGAGTTGAACATGCCCATCGCCAAGGTGGCTTACTGACGTCATTTGACAACAGAAAAACCAAGACTTACCCTTTAGGTTTTTTTTTCACGACTCAACCTACAGATTGACTGTACTACTAGTTAAAATATATAAATATAAAACTCAAAGGTGACTGACTGACATAGTGATCTATCAACGCACAGCCCAAATCACTGGACGGATCGGGCTGAAATTTGGCATGCAGGTAGATGTTATGACGTAGGCATCCGCTAAGAAAGGATTTTGATCAATTCTACCCCGAAGCGAAGCGAGGGCGGGCCACTAGTAAAATATAAAGAACAAAATAATAAAACCATACGCTTTTGATTAATTTAAATGTTATAATTAAAACATATTAAGGTCAAAAAAGGCAGAAGTGGGATCTTTTTAAGTTTGAACATTATTGAAAGTCTTCTATCAATACTACTCGTTCACATTCGACACGGATAAATTAGAGCCGCGGTATCATAACGGTCAGTGCATCCGCCCGGATAGTTAAGGGTGCGGGTTCGAGTCCCGTCTGCTATCTGGTCCACGTGAATTTTTTTCCTAATACAATTTTATTTAGATTTGAACATCTTGCAGTTCAATGCTTAAATTAAAATATAAGACTACTCGTGGTTATTTTTTTAAAAATTAATTATTTCTATAAGATCATGATTTATGATTTAGTTTTTGAAACTGCTAGATTTACAAAAAAAATAGAAGAAAAAATTCGCTCAGTCCAGATATCAGACTATAGTTTTTGCTTTCACCTTAAATCACTCTATCTATTGCTGAACTGCAATTAAATCGGTTGCGTAGTTTTAAAGACCTAGCGTAAAGGCAACAGGAGCGACTTTATTTTATCATCATCAGCCTATTAGTGTCCCCACTGCTGGGGCACAGGCCTTCCCTATGGATGGAATAAGGAGATTGTGCCATGGCCCACCACGCGGGCCCAGTGCGGTTTGGTGGGTGCTAACGACTGCAGATGCAGCCGGGACCAACGGCTTAACGTGCCCTACGAAGCACGGAGGAGCTCGAGATGGTAAAAATTTTTGGTCACCCATCCAATGACCGACCACTATTAAAGTTGCTTAACTTCAATGATCGCAGCCGACCGCGCTAACCACTCGAGCTCGAACTTTATTTTATAAACAGAAATTATATTTAAAACTAGTAAAGAAAAAAAGTATTTCCAATAAGAACTCTTTATTAAAACAATACCGAAAGTATTACGTTGCTTTAGATTTTTGGAGAAACTCACAGGAACCGTACATTTTTCCAGGATAAAAGTATCCTACGCCTCTATCCATCCAACTCCCCTTCAGGTTCAAGTGGCCGAGAGGCTCCAGACGGAGAGGAGACTCCCCCGTGCGGAGATGCCATCCGCTTGTATTATCTCATCTGCGACCAACGTTTTTTTTTTGTGTGTATGCTACACAAAAAAAAATCCATCCAAAGAAAAGTTTGCTAGAAAAACGCGACGCGGCTAATAGGGCCGTGGTAGCATAATGGTCCGTGCATTCGAGTCCCGTCCGCTGCCTGGTCCGCGTGGATTTTTTTC